CCTATTCGCTCATATTTTGGTTTCTTTTGATTTCTGTTAATTTTTTTACTGACCATGACCGGTGCGTCTGCGCCGTTGCTGCTCGCCAGTGTTTACAATTCAAAGTGCTTCGGAGATGTTCGGAGACATGGAGGATCAATGTTTACGTTTACATTACACTGATCAATTTACGCCGAAGTTAAACATCGATGTTAGGAAATTGGCCAATTACAGTCATTCCATTCTTCAGAGGAACATGCTATAATTGGCCTTTTTCTTAACATCGATGTTATAATTTCGGCGTAAATCGAGTCGTGTAAACGTAGTCGAATAGTTCGCGCGTCGTTTTCCGTTTTGTATAATCGTGTCAATTTCTATTCTGTGATCGTGCCTAAGTATGTCTCGCGGAAAGGATATTCTCAAAGGTTTCCAGATGTATCCTTTAATTTAAGATTTAATTTAAGCAACTGTTACACGATCACGTGACAGTTTTTAGGTTAGAACGAAATATCAAACCGAACATTTCTAAAGTATGTTTTTTGTAGCTAAGTTCCTTTTCATTTTTTTTCTCTCTGATGACCATTTATATGCTTACTTTATTTCAAAATTGTAAAATTGGAAATATTGGGCACCAAGATTTGTTTCGATCGAACAGGGCCTGTTCATTGTGTTGAACATTTAACGGTCGTTTTTGAACTTAATATTGCTTATTTTAAACGTTAATTTTATGTTATATAAAACATTAATATTATAACGGTGTAGCTACAAAGAACGGTCTTTTTAGAACATCGGTTTGACAACAAAGTGAATTTATGAATAAATGTATTTCCTTAATTATGATTTTGTCAGTAATTGGATGGAACTATGCGACGCCGACAGTGAGGAAATTCTTTGGAAAGATAACAAAGACTTGTGAGTAAGGCTGATTTTCCAGATACATTGTTGAAGGATGACAGATTGAATCCTTGGTTCTTTGCTTGATTGTAGGTCTGCACCGGATGTAGAACATGAAGCACATGTATTGAAAAAGATCCTGCAATGTCATGAGATACAAAGGAAGATAAACTTTAGCTCTGCAGAAAAAATGGAGAGGTTTCATTTAAAACAGAAGGTAATGTTCAAAGAGCGTTGCCTAGAAGAATTATTCTTTGAGTTTGGGCCCGTTGAATCTAACACCTCTGTCACATGGAAGAGCTCGATCCTGGCATCGCCAGAGAGTCCAATGATGTCAGCGAATATACTAAAGTGAGTAATGACACATCCTTGGTGTTTTATTGCTTATCTATTGATTAATTGTGTATGTTTTCCTTTACAAATAGCGGCAATGTCGTAATAGAAACACAATTTTTTGACGACGATCTCTTAGTGTCTATCAGTCGAGTCAAACTCTTCTGCGCCTAACAGTACAGCGATTTCCAAACGGTCCTAATCGTACATAACACGGGATCAATCGACGTGAACAGATATCCTATACAAAAATGTAACAACACACGTGTGAAAAGTTTCTTACAAACTGAATGTTTTTCGTCCTTTGATATTAGACACTTACTATGTATACAGTAACAGGACGATATTGATAAATATCATAAATTAATTAATAAACATAATTTAAACTCGTCTAGCCCTGTTTGAAAAATGCTACTGATAAAACTTTATAATTTTGTATCAATTGCGTAAATCTCTCTAAAAATGTCAATTTTGTAAAAATCTCTCGTTTACTTTACGATGAATAAACTTTTTGTATTTACAATTGCGTTTTGCAATTTTATAATTGCATTTTTATGACAACTGGTCTTTTCTTCGATTATTTGAGACTGAAAACATAACAACTTTACATACACTGATAGTGAGATGTATAGAGCTATATTAAAATTAGCCTACATTTAGGTTGTTTTTTGTTATTTGTATAAAGCTATATTAAAATTCTGATCTTTTTAAAATTAACAATTTAAAGGATTCATTAATGATACAAATATTATAATTCAATGAGGTGTCGAGTGGTTTTCCACTCAGTGCGATTGACTCGCGATCTGTAGATCCGGATTCAATCCCACTTGCACTCACATAAGCGATTTTTTGCATTTAAGAGGCTGAAAATGACTCCATCTGGTGATTAAGAGATCTTTGATCATCAGCGCTGTTCGGATTCGGCGTTAAACTGTAGGTCCCATATATCATTGGATATACCATATATATATATATATATATGGATCCTCCAGGCTGGGAATCAGATGTTAGGCTACTAACCTAATTCCAGAAAAAATACATTACGAAAACCTCATGAGAGGTAGGTGCCTTCTTGGGATGTTGCATAGAATAAATAAATTATAATTTAATGGTATATTTAAAACCTTATCGTTTGCAGTAGTATGTTATAATGTGTACTTATTTACATTTGGCATTTATTTACATTTGATAAATAACAAATACATATTAACAAACAATATTACTGCTCGCTATGTAATGTATTATAATATGTAAAAAATTTATTATATTTATTCTGGAATAAATAACAAATTGTCACATTAATGTGCCTTGCATTGCTAAAGCACATAATTTATTTGTTATTTATTAAGCATGAATAAATATAATAAGTTTTGTACGTATTATAATAAACTATATCGCGAGCAATAGTCTTAAAAATACTATTGAATTATAATTCATTCATAATTCTATAGCGCAACATCCTAAGAAGGGACAAGGCCTACGTCTCATAAGATTTTTGTAATGTATTTTTTCTGGAATTGGGTCGTTAGCCTAACATCCAACCTCCAGCCTGGAAGATCCGTACATATATTTACTGATATTGATTTTAAAAAGATCAGAATTTTAATATAGTTCTATATAATAATATAATTCTATACATCTTCTCACTATCAATGTACATGAAGCTGTTACATTTTCAGTCTTAAAAATCAAAGGAAAGATCAATTGTCATAAAAACACAATTATAAAATTGCAAAATGCAATTGTAAATATACAAAGTTGATTCGTCGTAAAGTCAACGAGAGATATACAACTTTCTTCATCGTACGGACGTACTATAACAGTCGTACGCTATTGATTAGTGGTGTACAAGCAACACATTTTTTAGGCTTCACCACACCCCTTGAGGGAGTTCACTTTGAGTATACTCTGTCCCCTACTCCGTCTATACGCGTTGTACAAGTGTAAGGAAAAGAAAAAAAACCTGAAGAAGAGGACGAGGAAACGCCGAGGAATCACTACGCAGTTAGCTTGAATGCAAACGAACTTCTTGTTGATTGAACTTCAACATCGTATCGCGCGCTTTGTTTCGCGCGCGATTAATTCAATTATACTCAACTTGGCGACTTCCCTCAGGGAGCCAGAAGTTCTCGTGGGATGGATCTGAACGACGAAGACGAGAGCGGAAACGAGAGCGGCAGGCAGCTATTTCTGGTCGGCACGCCGCGCGATCCACTGGTATCAGCCGGTGCGATCGTAGCATCGTCGACGAATGTCTCCGACGACGTCAATCAGAGTGACGATCTGCAATCGACCGCCCTGACTGGTCTAATCGGCGGCGCGCAATCCACCTCCGTTTGCTTCCCTGCAAAATTCAGTAAGTACACGACATCGTGTGTCAACCTAGATCTGATTTAATTAACCGCTTCTGTCTCCACTGACGGTATCCCAAGTTGGGTAGAATGTCGCTCAATTAAGTTATTGCTAAGTGCATTAAGTGGATCCGCAGTCAACCCTTTTTCTTAAATAGAATTAGCAGTAATCAGTTTAACAGTTATGAAGCATTTGCTCCGACGTGCCTGCGGAACATTGCGGCATAAAATCTGAGCGAATCACGTCATGGATTTTCGTACCGCGCTGAGACTAACGAACGCTATTTACACTCTGATGTCCTTATATAATCATGTATCGAGACGATTTTGTTGAAAGAATATTATCACGACGGATAAACTGTATCTTCTTGTAGCGTATGATTTCTCGACTGGCCCTGAAAGCGAAGAAAGACCGTCCTGCGTCATCGGCAAAAGAAAGCAGCGTAGGTACCGCACCACATTTTCCAATTTTCAGCTGGAGGAGTTGGAACGTGCTTTTCAGAAGACCCATTATCCCGACGTGTTCTTTCGTGAGGAACTCGCAGTTCGTATCCAACTGACAGAAGCTAGAGTACAAGTAATTTCTGCATGTCTCGCTCCCTAATAGTATTGTATGTACTTGGAGTATCTGGTTAAAAGAATTGGTGTCATTATTAATTTCCTTGCAAATAGGTATGGTTCCAAAATCGGAGAGCAAAATGGCGCAAGCAGGAAAAGCAATGTAAAATCGCAACTCATATAACATCATCGCACTTACCACCGGATTGTCAAGAGGTGCAACAACATCAATCGCAACACTCAGATCACTTGTTATTGGAATCACCGTGCAGTCCTATATATCTCGGCATGGAATGGGCAGGTTTTTCTCCTTATAACAACACAGACAGCGCATCGTCTCTTATCGTAAACAACATGAATAAACCAACGGAGACAGAAGCTGACAATAATCCACTGCTCGATCCTGAATTGTTACAATTAAAGCCTCCACGTTCCTAATAATATTAAGAATATACGTATATATAATATATTATTTGTAATTTGGATAACGTTCCATGCTTTCTGAGAAGTTACGTGATTAGTATTATAACTGAAATAACTTGCAATATAATTTTAACATAGAAAATGTATATTGCGCGCGTAAAGCATAAGAAGGCTACTGCTTGTCGAACAACGAATGAAGTTTTTATGACGAAATTAGAATTTTTATATTGATTGCACGAATGCATACATTATTTAAAGAATGACCATTCGGGGCCTTATTATATATTAACGACCTATCATTCATCGATGAAAAAAGTCGCGATCGTATTCATAAGGGTAATCGTATATACATTTTATAAGAAGAAAGATGTATATATAATGGAGTGTCTGTTTCTTTCGGACAAGTAGATTCTATTAAAGGAAAAGTAATAAATATTTATATTATGTACAAAATTACTCTTTGCGAGACGTGTTACTCCAATATAAAATAGTAACGTCAACTTTTTATTCAGTGTGCATATGTTACAAGTCAGTAAATTAATTAAGGTATTTATTAATTAATTGATCCTAGGAGCGAATAAGCGAGCTAAGATGCTTTTCCCGATTTTTCAAATCATTTGAGAGCTCATTTCCTTTTTTCAATAGTATTTTTCTCTTTTTCTATGACTAATTATCCTCGAAAATTTCAATGAACATCGAAGGTAATTAGTCGAACAACGAATAAAGTTTTTATTATATAACCTTGTCGGTGAGAGATCTATTAACTTTAACTTTTAACAGAACGCTGTTTGGGATGCATCTCGAGTGAAATAAATTAGTGACAGACGTTAAAAGGTTACGCAATGTATGAGTACTCGTCCGCGCTATTTGGCGTACGTTCGATATACTGTTTATCTATCAGAGTTTCAATGCACTTTTTAATCATTCCGATAGAAGGTGCGAAAGTAACTTTTGATTGACTTAACACCTGAAACAATAGAATTACATTAAACATCGCTACACAAGACAATTAATGTGCGCTGCTATTACACTCTCAAAACTCGCAACTCACCTCCTGTATGAGCTGATTGTGTTTTAATAGCTTGCGACTCTTCATGATACGAACTATAGCCGCCTGCAAGAACATCTTCCTATCTTCGTCTACACTGCGATGTGTGGCCTCCGCATCCTGTGGCGCGTCTCGCTGTAACACCCCTGTCACGCGAAACTTGGTTCTCTTGTTGGAGTAACTAAAATTGAGCGTGAGAATAGTATCCTCCTCCAATTCGCCGTCGTTGGACTTAGTGAGGATCTTACAATCCACAAGGCTAGCGGCATGCTTCATTAGCTGGTCATGCGATAGACGTAACGAGGCAGCTGCTTCTTTACATGGTATCGTATCACAATGCTCGAAAAGCAACAGCAACGCCATTTGATACGTTTGCACAGTGACCAAATACGGTTTCTTCAAATAATTAAATTTGAGCTCGCCTTGACTCAGATGATGCAGCCACGTAAGCTTCCGACCGCTAAACTGCATGTGATAGAACGCCTCGAAAGCCTGGACGGATTTCTCCAGTTGCTGTGGAACATGGAATGGGCCGGGTGAAGGTGGTAGACCAAGTGGCCAAGCACCAGCTTGCAACACTTTAACTGTGAAACCGGTACCCAATTGATTCTCTCCGTCGCCTTCCCGTAAGGTCGCGATAAACTTCGCGTTGAGATCTGCTGAGACTGACATGTCCGTAAACATGCGATGAAGCTTATTCGTAAACTCGTAACCACACGCCCGTTTCAGGTCATCGATCATCATCTCCTCAGCATCCATCGATTGCGACTGCTGATGTATTAATCGCTTCGCCAACATACGTGAATAGAATTTTTGGAACACATCCTTATCATCCACGTACTTGAACACTGTTATGGAGCGTTTCAGTTTGTCCTCGATTTCGCTTTCGGAGGCAGCCCTGGGAGACTTTTTCAATAGGATGTCGCAATACCTCGCCAGCTAAGTGAAAGATACGCATTATATAATTTATCAATAGAAATCATATCCTAAGTCGAAAATATCGTTTTTAAATGATTTTTACCAATTCTGGTGCTCGAACTGGCTGCTTCGGAGCGGGCCTGTAATTTACGATGGCGGAGCAAGCTTTATCGAGAGCACCTACAAAACTTTGATCTGAATTGAACACTTCTTTAATCATTTCAGAATATTTCGAATGTACATTTAACATATTCTCCACAAACTGCATGTATACCTGAAATTAGAAATTCGTGTTTTTTTTCTATATAAAATTACGTAAATCTATATATTTTAGTACTTTTAAATATTTTGTTATATTCACATTTTCTCCTTGCAAAGGTCCAATTGCTTGTAATCCTTGCAGTGTAATGTGGCGAGTAAGATGTTGCACAAGTGGATCTAAACCTCCTGGCAAAGACCTCAATAATGGATAAAGAAGAGCCAAATCCCGTCTGCTCTCATTCTTTATCATCATTTCTGCTTCTGAATGCAGTAAATCTACGTGTGCAGCTACCATTTTATCTTCACAACACGCTCTGACCTGCAGCAGAATATTGCTGTTGTATATATCCATTCTGCAGTTACTTCTAGATGAAAAACGCAATAACGTACTTTTGCTACAGAACTCTTGTGAAGGAACTTATAAGCGCGTGCCTCTTCTTGAGCAAGTCTCCATGTTACTTTTTCTATATAACGCGTAACGTCTGATTGCTGCAACAACGATGACGCTTCCGCTGTGTAAAATTCTCCGCTAGCCTCCAAAAAAGGTTCCTCAAAAATTTCTTGATACAACTAAAAAATATAATTTAATTTAATAGAAACTTAAAAATAAAAAAAACCCTTTCTTTGCTTACAAAAACAAAAATTTGTGTAATCAATTACGTTTAATTTTCCCTTCATCTTGTGATCTTCTACCCGAACAAAACTTTCTATGACACCACAAATAACATCCGTCGGGGCAAGCAATTTCGAATCTCTATCGGCGTCGATACACGTAAGTAGAAGAGAAACTAGTTTTTTCTTAAGTGGTATTATCATCTTTTTCTTCCAAATGTCCAAACCAAGTTCACCAATCTCCATTTGCTCTTGACACTCTTCTTCTCTATTGTGTAAACTCGTGCCATAGATGAGTTCTGCTTCAGAGAGCTTTTGCTTTTTGATGTGTTGTTGATTAAGGTATAAGTACAAGCTATGCAAATAGTCGATGCCTTGCGAGTACTCTGTCCAAGCGCGATAATACGCTGGAAGCAGCTCCCACTTGTCATTATACGAGTTGACCTGTACTAGCAAATGGTCTACATGGTTAACCAAAAACCTCTTTGTCTCATCATACAAACGGTCTGCTAGTGGTTCGGGATATGCAACGCATAAAGAATAAACATCACTGTAATCATAATATACACTTAATAGACACTTTCCTACATTAATGAGATGTAAGATAATTGTCAGATTTTGTACCTAAATCTATCGTTCCATATAGCACGTGGGATATTTGCTAACGTTATCACTCCCTTGATAGTCTCTTGCAGTACATGCCATGTTTTATTAAAATCCACTCTCTTGGGTTTTAGTGACATCCTTCCCTTTGATCCACAAACCCTTTGATAACTCGATCGTAATGACAATAGCTTGCTAATTTCACAGAGAAGTACACTCACTGTATACCATAAACCTGCAAAATAGCCAAGTCACTCGTATTATTTACATACAGGATTTGTGACACACATTCAAACATAGTTAAAAGCTTGACTTGTACAAGAACCAATGAATCGCTTGGTGTTCAAACAAAAGCAATCCCAATCGTGGGTACATCCCAAGAATAATCTTTCGGAGTACAGAGAGAGAGAGACTGAGTTTACACGGCTTTGTCCGTGTGTTTTGTACATCGTCGGTTTAAAAATAACGTAAAAGTAAAATATGCCACACGCGTATACGTACACACACATACATCTCACGGCCGTTCTAAATCTCCCCGCTACTCGTAACTTTACGCGGCAAGGTGACACTCTCCGCGAGAATCTTCAAACTCTAAACAACCTTGGCGAGTTTATAAGTACGTAAACATTCGTCCGTTCGAAGTGAAAATCTCGAATATGATGGTGCGTGGCCGCCACGCCGCCGCTGACGGAGGCGTGCGATGTGTACGAGCGTGTACTCGATGCACGCGTTATGAAATATCGATTCGAACAAAGGGGGACGTGTCGTTTTTTCTTCCGAGAGCTCGGGACGTGGCGGAGTCGGGGGACCGTCGCGCGTGGGACTACACGCGTGTACCCGCCATTGGGGGGGCAAGTACGACACAGCTGACTGGCTCGGCGCTCGGCGCTCAGCTCCTCCAGATGGACCGCGTGCCGCGCGGGTCGGCCTAACCAAAGAATTTAAGCGCGGGAGGAAACGCGAACCACCTTCGGTTCCTTCTTCCCCTGTAACCTGTTCTTCGGCCGACGAGCTGACGAAACGTACCGGCCGTTTATTTTTGGGGCGGGGGCCCGAGTCACTCGCTGCCGCGACGGGACGATGCATGGCACTCGCGGCGAATACACGCCGAGCGCATTTTCCGTCCGCGGCTCCGCGCTGCTCCCCTTTTTTTCCTTCCTTTTCTCCTTCCGCTTACGACTTTGCCCTCGGTGACGCTCGTCGGCTCGTGTCACCGATGATCGCCGTCCGCTCCCTCCGAGTCCGCTAACCGCGGTCACAATTTTGCTCGGACTCGCAGTGCACCCTCCCGTGCCCGCTCGCGCGTTGAATCCTCAATAACATCCCGCGGCCATGCTCTCTTGGTGCGTGTGCGCGAGCGCGCAACGCGCGATTTTCATTCGCCGTCATATGTGTGGCACCCGCACGCTCGGTCTGACGTTGTGCCCTGTTGTGCCATTGACAGAGCGATATGTAAATCACGTGGCCATGGATCTATATAGGTAGATTACAAGCGCGAAGACAGCACTATAGTAAGAGAGGCCGACAGAAAGTTAGACGTCAGAGAGTCGATTGTGTTTTTTGAAATGAGGTAAAAATTACAAAAGGGAGCAGGTATTAGAACTTTTATCATTTTAATAAGGGCTACAGATTTCAATATATTTAAACCCCAGGTAGCAAGCTACGTCATTTTGACGTCAAATGACGTCTTTTGACGTCAGCTTGCTACCAGGAAATTTTTAAACAGACGCTTCGACCTTATCGTCAGATCATCTTACATAGTATACAAAATATAGAAAATTAATTTTCGAAACGCCTGTTTAAAAATTTAAATATATTGAAATCTGGCTCGTAGCCCTTATTGTTATTAATGTTTATTTATTATTATTGAGCCATTATAGTACGTATTATTTTTATTTTATAATTTTGTTGATTAACATCAATAGTGAATTCGATCTAATATTGGTGGCCATCAATTAATCATGCATATTTATTTTGATTATTAACAGTTAACTGTAACCATTATAACAATTATAATAACAGTACTGGAAAGTCATTCACTTATTTTTAGTATCAACTATAGGCTGTTAACTACTGCGGTTAATTAATCACTTATTTAATTCAATTATACTGTTTTAACAATACTGTTAATATTTAAAATAAGTTATTAATTAATCAGTACTATACCCTGGTAGCAAGCTGACGTCAAAATGACATCATTTGACGTCAAAAGACCATTTGACGTCAAAATGACGTAGCTTGCTACCTGGGTAGTAGGTATTAAATTTCTACAAAGAGATGGTGAAAAAAGAGAGAAGCAATTGCTTTCTTTGCTTTTAGAAGGAAACGTGAATTATCCTCTTTCATTACCATATCAGATTTTTCTTTCATTCCATTCAGAGAATATCTGACCATATATATCCCTGTCTATTAATTAACAATTAGTACAAAAACATAGTGCTTCTAATCAAATTTATCATTTTCTATTATAAATGAGCGTTAATATAACAATTTCGAGCTTTTTATTTTCTGCTTATTTCGATTTTTATGTATGAACTTTTTTATAGAACGATTACACATCGATTAAAAAATCACATGATCGCATAAATCATTACAAATTTGTATGTGAAACTCGTTACGTCGCTTCCTCTCCCCACTTTTATTTAATTGGATTTTTTTGCATTTAGCTCGCGAATCTCGCGATACGTTCACGCTTCTATGTCGTTCATAACTCGTGGTCGTGACTCGCACTTCGACGCGTCCTGGCTCTTGGCCGACGGTTTGGTTGACGTTTTGCATTGTGAGACGTTAGATATTTGCACGAAAAGATGGTAAGTGTTTATTTATTATAAAGTATTCCTTGCACTTTGTCACATTGTCTCCTAGTAGGATTTCTTGTAACCGCAACTACGAATCTACAGAGTAATCAGCATTTATCTACAACTAGAGGTTAAGTTGCTGTCAATATACCAATGACAATGTACTTTTTTGACAAATTATAATTTCCACACTATCCCACTCATCACACTTTAAGGTTAATATTACATCCATTGTACAACAAATTTTTCAAACATGTTAATTAACTGCAAAACACAGAAGTTCTCGTATCTCTCTATCTTATTTCTCTATCCTAGTCCATCCTTATCCTTCTATCTTGCTTTCTAAAATTTTTAAGTGAAAATTTCACTCTGAAGAATGAAATCTTAAAGATTTAAAATTGAGATTCCAAAAATTTAGAGAGTAGTCACTCAACAGGCTTGAAAAATTTATTATGCAATAAATATAATATCAGCCTTAGCTTAAGAATGTCCTGAGGATGTTTTTAGAATATAGAGACGTCTTCTAGACGTCTTTAGGACCTTGAGGTTTATGCTACCTGAAAAGTTTTCTTGTGTACTCTTTAAAATTTATAGAATGAATCTCTGAAGAATGAAATCTGACTCTTAAAGATTGGATTGATAATTGAGCTATTTTTTTTCAAAACTGGCTCAATTTTTATTCTTTAGAGAATGAGATACCACTTTAAAGAATTTAAAGAATATGCTGTATTTCAACATATTTTCTTTTTTTAGAGCATCCTTGCGTATAACGGTGGCGCCGTGATAGCCATGAAGGGTAAGAACTGCGTGGCCATAGCTGCCGATCGCAGATTCGGTATACAGGCGCAGACGATAACGTGCGACTTCCAGAAAATCTACGAGATGGGACCGCACTTGTACGTCAGCTTGCCCGGTCTTGCCACTGATACCCAGACAGTCATGGAGAGGTTGCGCTTTCGCCTGAATCTGTACGAGCTAAAGGAGAATCGAAAGATTAATCCAAAAACGTTCACAGCTATGATCTCAAATCTCCTGTATGAGAGGAGATTCGGGCCGTATTTCGTAGAACCTATAGTCGCCGGACTGGATCCAGTCACGTTTGAGCCATTCATCTGCAACATGGACCTGATAGGCTCCAGAAATATGGCCGAGGACTTTGTGGTAGGTGGAACGTGTACGGAGCAACTTTATGGCATGTGTGAGTCGCTTTACGAGCCTAATTTGGAACCTGGAGAGCTATTTGAGACTGTCAGCCAAGCTTTAGTCAATGCATTCGATCGGGATGCGATATCTGGATGGGGTGCCGTTGTTTATATCATGTAAGTATCATGATAAGATTAGAACAGATGCAATTGATACTTATATTAATATACATTGAGTGAATTAAATGTATATATTTGATTTCAGAGAAAAGGATAAGGTCACGAAAAGGACTGTAAAAACGCGAATGGATTAAATGCATTCATCTTTTATATCAATATGTGCGACAAAAATTTCATAATTATTGTTGTAATTAAGTCTAAGAAATATAAACAGAAACTTATAAATAACTCGTAATAAATTAAACCCCTAATACTATTTTAATGTCTTGATATTTAATATCTAAAAAATTGATTTCTCTTTCAATTGTTGCCCTTTTTCGTTACTTTTTCATAAAATTTTTGGGGAGGGCTCCGATTGCACACATCGCATATTGCACACATGTATTGCTGATTGGCCAATTTAAAAATAAAATAATCTCATTGGCAAAACAGTAAAAAATTACTAGGCACCAGTTGATATGAGTGGTGTGTACAATCAGAACTGTAGGCAAACGGGATCCTCCCAATTTTTGTATTTCATCTTTCCTGATTAAAATTATTTTTTATAGTTAATTTGATATTTATCCAATTTTTTTTTTTAGACAAAATATAAATAAATTATAATTTTATTTTATCAGCAATTATGCAGGATATACGAAGCGACGATGTCGCCATCTATGATCTGATACTCGAGTCAACTTTAAGTACAGTTCGGTGAGTCGGGAACAAAAAATGGAGAGTGTATGTTGAATGCATGATGTGTGTCGTGTAATTGCGAGAAAACTTGTATTACCAGCGAAAACTTCATCACTGCAATGTCGATTAATGCATTATGCGCTACATTTCGCAAAATTACGGTGGGCAGGATAAGTATGTACTTTCAATAATTGATTTATATAATTGTGGATTAATTATAACCTAGTATTGCTATCTACTTTATGAGCAAAAATGTATATATTCCTTACTTTAAAAGTGACAACTCAAAAAATTAAGTCTCCCAGAGAAAGGAAAAAATTATTCTTTAATTTGACAGAAAATTATTGACTAATCGAATAATATCGGTAAAAAAAATGTAACGTCAAATATCAATTTTGTCATTTTCGTTTTATACCTTTAAAAAACCCTTTTTTGAATTGACGATTTTTTTATGACATTAACCTACTTTTGATGATTGATAAGGTAATGTTTACTTAAATAATTCATGATAATAACTTAAAAATCACGTTCTTTTATTTGAATAACTTTTGAAGTAAGAGCGATATATGTATATATACATATTAGGCTATTGTTAAAATAAAACATACTGTTTAAATTATTATATATTTTAAGTATATAAAATAAGATATTTGTAAATATTACGTTAAATTTCTCTATTCTTATCTATTTCAGATACTGCTGCTGCTGCTGCTGCTACTGTAAGGTATTCAACACAGCAATCCAACTGCGATGCAAACATAGTTTCCCGTTTAACATCTGATAATTGCATACAGTGTGGTACAGGATCGATACACAGTATAAAATTTATACCACGAACACTTAATATAGATTTTGGAATGCCTATGAGAGGAGATTTAATAAGAAATATTATTGAAATTCCTGCTACCACTTTGATTCCTCCATTACAAGAGCCTACAAATCATTTGCCCATTCAATATGATTCACCTATGCTAGAAAAGTCTCTAGATTTACCTACGAATGAAAGAGTTATAGAGAAACAGGCAGTAAATATGCTAAGAATCAGGCGTAAGAAAATGAAGAAACACAAACGAAAGAAGTTGCGCAAGAAGATGAAATTTGTATTGGAAAAAGTAAGGCTAAAAAGAAGACAGAGGACGGAGAAATTATTTCAAGCTGAACTAATTGCCAAAATTAAGGAAGCAGAAGCGTTTGATGCTAAAGAGTATGTCAATGAGAAATTAAGTATCTTGAATAAGAAGATATTACCAAGAACTTTCAGAGGTGAGATTTTGCCTGCTGAGATGATTAAACAGTTTTTGGATGAGAAAAGAGCAAGAAAGGAGGCTAAACGTAATAAACTTCGTTTAACCTTATAACTTATGTATAAGTTGTGGCAATAAAGTTTTATTAGAATGGTAATTATGGTTCTTTTTGTAATTTATATTCAAAAAATAAATAATATTTGAGCATGAAAAGGAGGTAATTAAGAAAAACAGGATTAAACGCACAATAGATTTACTTTCTTATAAAAAATAAGTTACTTATACAGTCATTCATTCATGAAAGCTTTCATATATAACGATCGCATTAAGGCATTTATATAGATATACAGATAAAACTTTATCTTCGTTCATTTGATTCGATTTTGGTTTTTTGTACATAATAACGAATGATACTTAATCTACTGCTCTTTTTAATAAATATATGTTTGGAAACTTTTTTTTGGTTTTACAATATTAGTTGTGTGTTGACATGCAAGATACCCTCATAAATTTATAACATAATTCCGAAATTGTAAGATGCTCTTTACAATTTCGTATTTACCTTATGCTTATAACTCCCATTGACACTGTCATTACACATACATAGCACCTATTACATTACAGTTTAATACTATGATTTAATAAATAACATCACTTTTATTCATGCATACTTTGTTAATTAAGTTGTTAAGACAATTGGTCTCTCGTGTTTTACATCTTCAGGAGGAAAATTGGGATATTAAAATTAAAATTTATATTTATAATTTGCTACTTTGTTCAAATAATATCTCGTGTGTGGTTGAAGATTGTGAAAATGTTAATGTCTGCTAATTGCATATAATTAATCATTTTCATGCTTTGTAAACAAATACATGCTATAAAATAATTAACATTTTACAAATAATAATATAACATTTTGTCTCCAAAAACTTCTTTGATAATATTTTAAAATTATAACGTGTATATATGTATATATTTTTTTTTTCTCGTATCTTTATATTTCGTTCTTTCATCGTTTGTTTAAAAATATTTTATCTTCTAAGGCATATTTGTCACAAAGCAAACGTCAAAGTTTTAAAGTACTTGCCCATTTCATTGTTCTTGTGGAAATAGATAACATTCTTAGTTGCTAACAAGCAAATGTTTTTTTTCTAACTAAAATAACTCTAAAATAAGCAACATTGCAAAAAAGTTATACAATTAAAAATTGTCCTCCCTTTCACGGTAATATCTGGCCTTTTTTAATTTCTAAAACCTTTGGCTTGTTACTTATTCTGCCGGTCATCAGAGCATTGCTTCTACCAGAGAAATAGTCCTCAATCTCTTGTAACGTTCTATCTTTAGTTTCTGGAAGGCATATGTAGAAATATATCGTGCCAAACAAAGATATACAACCATAGAGAATGAATGTACCATGACGAGTGAGTACGCTGGCCAGGAACGGATAAGTTTTAACTACCATGAAGATAAACGAATGCGCGCACATAGTAGTCAGTCCACCGATAATACCGCGTACTTGCACGGGATAAACCTCGCCTATCATCACCCATGGAATCACCAGGAAGCCCAAAGTGCAAGTGATGGTATATAAGAATATGCACATAACTGGGACCCATGTGGCGACGAATGGAAGATCATTCTCGACCCAGTAATTTTTCAACCACATATATCCACCTAATCCTATCATGGAAAGTCCGCATCCGATAGAAGATACCATTGTGAGCGGTCTCCTACCGCATCTTCTACATAGAACGCAAGCGACGATAGTAGAGGTGAGCCTGACTATTCCCAGTATAACCGCTGCTAAGTACTTGTTCATACTTGCTCCCGAGTCCTTGAAGATCTCGACGGCGTAAAAAGTTATAACGTTAGTTCCTGACCATTGGTATATCAAAAAGTACAGAAACAGCAGGGCGAAAGGTTTGAGCGCGTTGGGTTTTAGCACAGCGCACATAATCTCTCGGAAGCCGGTGAGTCGTTTGATGTTGTTCTTGTTAGAGAACTCGACCAATGTCTCCATTTCCTGATTCACGTTGTAAGTACTGCCGCGGAATTTCTGTAGCGCCTTCTTGGCTTGGTCTGGTTTGCTGCGCGATATGAGGTAGGACGGAGTCTCCGGGAAGAAGAACATCAACACCAATGCGGTAAGTGGCAGAATACCGCTAATGGCGGCGCAGACGTTCCATGTAACCATACTTCCTAGAGCATATTCTATCAGAACTCCTGTGCTGACACCGACGCTGGCAAATGCGATCAGCATTCCTCGTAGATGTGGTTGTGTCACCTCGCTTGTGTAAACGCGGGCTGGTGCACCCACCATGCCCGATCCTAGACCGACGAAGAAACGACCAGCATATATTATGCGTATGTCGGTCGCAAACGTAATTAGCAGCCATCCGAGTACCGCCGGAATCTCCGTGATGATGAGTGAACGCTTTCTGCCGAACATGTCCATCATGTAGCCAGACAACAAGCAGCCGATCGGCGTACCGATAGAGGATATGCTAGCTGCGAGAAAAAAAAAGAAACCGATGAGAATTAATATGTTTTTTCCATAAAAATTAATTAGAAGAAAAAACCCAGTCGAAACCAACTGAAAGTAAAAATAAAGGACAAAATTGAGTTTTGAAAAAATAAATAATTTAAAGGACAGCTACTTGAAATAAAAAACTTTCCTTTATAAAGGATGTATAGTCACCATTTGCATTACACTTATTTTTATTATATCGTGCAAATTACATTGGTGTACGTTATTTTTAGTTTGTGTTGACTGGGAAGAAAGTATCTCGGAAGAGAGAGAGAGAGAGAGAGAGAGAGAGAGAGAAAATTGTAGATTTTAAATCCTTCTCAACGACCTACCGATCCACGATTCCTCCGTCGATCCCTCCTTGATGGGAATGATGCTGTCTGGCTCCTGGAGCTGCGGCAAAGCGATGGCGGAAAAACCAAATACCATGCCCGTGTTGATGGTACCAAGCTGGGCAACCAGGGCAGCCAAGACTTGTCTGATGGCGCTACCCCTGGGCGGTCGACCATTCTCAGGATCGCTGTTTGGGATGGTGCCGTTCGCCAGATTCGTCCTCTCATCATTGAGCAGCGCGGATGGCTGAATTTTCGGGAGCAACGTCGAGTCCACCAGCGTCGCCTTCTCCGGGTCTTGCGTATCGCTATTTTTTCTGTAAGAGAAACGATTATTAATTACGACGGGAAAACAACTCTATATGTATAAGCTATATATAGCTGTAATGCACTATTACTTATATGTTATCTAGATGACTGAGTACATATCGCGTTCCACACATACACATGTGGGAAGTTAACGATGGAAGTAAAATTTTTGCATTCGCGATATTCATTATCGCACTTACTGGAATATTTATGTATAACGAAGTGAGGAACGAACGCAAGGTTACGTTTATGCAAATTACACGGTGATTAGACAGAAAGTTCGATTACGCAAGCATTATTTATTAATTTTTTCGTTAAAATGCAGAGGTGTATAAAGTGTGCAGTGACGTATTACCGTAATTGTTAAATACGGAAAATTGTATGTATCTACACGCACGAGCTATTCACGTGCGAAGTCGATGAGAATCGATTCGAGCGGGTAATACGTAATGGACTTTCTACAACAAGCTATTATCTAAGCTTAAATTTTAAAGTGTAAAAAATTGACCAATCATGGTCGATTATTCTTTTCATATTCGATTGTGATTGGTTAATTCCTTATTTAAGATTTAAAACTTAAGTAATAGCTTATTACAAAAAGCCCATAATAGACTTTTACAATGTCATTATCTTAGTCTTAAGCCATGAAAAATTGACCAATCACAGTCAAATGTGAGAAGAATATCGACTATAATTGAGATGATCAATTTCTTATGACTTAAGATTTAAAGATTAGGTAATGGCTTATTGTAGAAAGCTCATTATATTTTCAGCGTTCATTTGTCGGAATCGTTCTGAGAATACGTAAATATGCGATAAAACTTTTCTTTGAGGAGCGAGCATTGCGAGAGAAAGCGAGCGATATAAACATTGGCTCATTACTATTTATTTAGTTTGACGGAAAGATAACAATTTATTTTCGTTATAGCAGATAACACGACAGACGCCAAACGTTATAAAGTATAATGTGCGGAATTTTCCATACTAATCAATATGAGAGATCATTTTGTCAATAATGACCGGTAATGAGTCTCAAACTCCTTCTCGTAAAAGCAGGTCGTTACTGGCTGCAAATTTGGCTCGGATTTGACGACACTAAAATTAAATCCGACCTAAATGTTCCGCATTCAGTTTAGGGACGTTGTCGCACAAGTGTCTTGGAGATATAATTATTTTGATAATTTTTAAATCGTTTAAATCTAGAGAAAATAAAAATCGGATCTATTTCTTATTTTTGTCAGGGAACACTAAAACTGCCGATGGTATCTCGTTAGAATTCCGAATTTGATAATAACTTCCTATAATTCTTATTTTCGGTTAATGAAAACTTATTTTGATATTATATATTTGTACCGTTAGAATTATTTGTATTACAAATAAAATGTCCGCAACTAATAACAAAAAGCCTCATCAGTCTGGACTGAATTTTAGCGTTAAATATTTCGGTGTAAATTTGTATAAATACATATCCAGTTCTGTAAACTGCATGTCGAAATCGTTTTCAATCTTGAAACGCAATCCTAAACTGAATTGAGATATAGTAATATCACAAATTAAATTAACAAGTAATTTAATGACGTTGATGGAAATAAGCATCTTAAAAAACTAAGTAATTTAAACACTAATATTATTTAAAATCCAGCTCAGACCGATAAGCTTTTTTTATACATAGTTGTGTATTTGTATTATATTTACATATTTCCAATATTCTCTACTGTGTATCTAATATAAAAAAGAAAAAAAACTGAAGTGATTAGCGGAATCAAAATGGCATTATCGGCGATTCTAATATTAACTGAGAATAATAGTAACAAACTTTGACTGTCTACAAACGTTTGATAATAATAATAATTAAACGTTTAAATTAAAACTATTAATAAAAGAAGTGAAAGTTAATATAATAAAATAAAATAATAATATTGATAATATTATGATAATTATAATTATTATAAAATAATAATATTATCTACAAAATAATAAGATTAAAATATAACAAATAATATTAGATAATGTATCTAATACAAAAAGTCATTCCAGTCTGTAATGGATAAAAATAGTCAAATGGAAAAATAGAAAAAATATAATATAATACAGACAACTTGATGAGTTGTTGCTATAATTGGTCTAGTTGATCCTAACAAAAAGAACAATTTTTTTCCATACGAATGTACGCTAAAATGTATACGTAGAATATGTATTTAAAATATTTTGCCTGTGCAAACACTGCACAATAACGTTACTGTTGAAAGAACAGTGCCTAGTTTTTGCACGAAGAACACGAAAGAAAAATTCTGACGAGAGAGAAGAAGAGCTATCGTCGAGTTTCTCACAGTTTACGAGGCTGTGCGCTTGGATGATACAATCGTGTATTACGACCTTTAAAATGAAAGGGAACTCGTGTCACAAAGAATCGATTTGATGGCGCGTGTACATATTACGTTTATCTTGGATAACAAAGGTACTCGTTATTACTCATTTTCATCTATTCCAGAAGTTCGTCGATAATTCTCAACTTTACATGGAGGACATACAACAATAATGGTAAAAAAATGTAAGGCCGTAAAGAAAGAAAGATAAGTAAAAAAGCCGTAATTGCCACAAAGGTCTTATGTAAATTTGTGATAACAGCGATTCGGTGCGTTTTTGCCTCTTTCGTTTGTTTATCGGGCACGAGCAATAACTCCGTTCATGCGTGTGATTTAACGAGGAAAAGAATTTCCTTACGTGATGCGTACGCGAGAAATTATTTGCTGTGATTACAGAAAAGATTAAGAAATTAACGAACTGTTGCCCAAGGAACGCACCAAGTCAAGAGAAAGTCAAAATGACATACTTTAACGTCAAATGACGATTTTTTTTTAAACAAAGTTTAACTGTTATTTATTAACTGTAAGCATCAAAATAAAATCATTTTGACGATTTTTTAGTGTTCTTTGGGGATGGTCGTATTCGGAGCTGAGCATGTATTTGAAGTATTTACTTTTATTTGAAAAACGGTATTTGTAAGACAATTGTATCTTCTATTTTATATTTCAGTATTATAATAACGAAAGATTAAGAGTATTTTGTATTTTAAATACTAAGATTGACAATTAATCTTATTATTTAAAAAAATTACGAAATACATAAAAGTTTCAATCTTTTAATTTTGAATAAGTAATACTTTCATGTGCACCGCTGAAATACAAAACATAAAATACACTTTTATTGCAAAAATTATGTTTTAAATAGAAGTATTTCAAATAAGTACATGCCTTAGCTCTGATCGTATTGCGTAACCATTGCTAATCGATCTCTGGCAGTACTTTTACTCGCACCTGTATTAACAATTATATTTGTTTTTAAGATCGACGAGCATTAGGCGTCGTCTACAATACACGGAGTAAGAAGTAAGAGTAAGAAATTGACCAATCACAGTCGAATGTGAGAAGAATAATCGACTGTGATTGGTCAATTTCTTACTCTTACTTCTTACTCCATGTATTGTAGACGACGCCTTAACTTGTCACTTATAGGTACGTATATGACGAGTTAATCAATAAAAATTAAACTGTCTATAAGTTCTTTGGAGTCTCACTTTAAAGAGAGAAAATTGAGCCAGTCTTGAGAAAGAGTGACTCAATTTTCAATCTTTAAAAATGAAATTTCACTTTTTATAGAGCCAGATTTACCCTAAAAGTTTTAAAGAGTACATTCTTGAAAAAGAGCGACTCAATTTTCAATCAGATTAAGAGTCAGATTTTACTCTTTAGAGCGAGATACAATTTTAGGGAGTACATTTGTGCTTTTATCGCGTTTACTTGTTAATAATTTTCTTCTTATTTTCATACCGAGTTCGAGGCGTAATTTATCGACCTCGGTTTCTCCGGCGTTTTAATAATTTATCAAGTTAACGATGCCGTTCACGTGTCACGAGTTTGCAACGTGAGTCGATCAGATTATCATAAATAAAGGAAGTTATTTCTGTTTCAAACGATTGCCGAAGTTGCATATCGGATCCAGCGCGTGTTCCGGACTTTTGCAATACGAATCCAGTTTGGATTAAAGCCAAACTTACATACGCATGCGAATTTACCAGCGGACTTAACGCTGTTTTCGCTGCGCAGCTGCGACCTTTGTTGACGAATTCTACTGTGCGTTCCCAGCGTCCATTCACACACTGAAAGAAAAAATTGGTTGCTGCAACAAATAAGATGGTTAAATATGGCATAGCATTTTTAATTAGCTGTAGCAACCAATTTTTGGTTGCGTTAGCCAATTGAAACCTCATACTGACATTGCGAATAGGCTAATACAACCAACAATTGGCTGCAGCATCCAAAAATTGGCTATTACAACCAATTAAAAATGCTATGCCATATTTTACCATCTAATTTGCTGCAGCAGCCAATCTTTTCTTTCAATGTATTATTTCCGACGAAGCAAATTTCCACATTCGAAATTGAGAAATCTATCGTAAATCAAACTAAACCAATGTAAGCCTATAAGCATAGATACGAGATACAATGCAGTCATATTTTTATACGTTTTCATTGTTCTTCGATCGGAGAGAAAAATTCTTTGGTAATATTTTATATAATATTTCTTTTCTAGGTGAGATATAGTTTTTGGTTTTTTTTTAATCACAAGAGGTATAGAATTCGTCGCAATTAACGGCTTGTTCGCCAAATTCGTCTGAAACGCGGTCGTCAAGTTTTACGATCTTTGAATGTCTGCCGAGTTGCAGAAGAATAACTTCCAAACGTCAGCTGACATTCCTGTCAACAAAGAACATAATTACTGCCGTCTCGGCGGACAAAGCGGTCTCGTGACAATTCAACGTGTTATTGGACTGTATTTCTCTTTGTGTTACACCCTTGGTTGCACCTTGACTTTGCGTATGAAGGCCGTGTGGAGACGACACTTCAAGGGTATCGTTCGTTCAAGTAACCGAATTAGAATACAAGAAGGATTTCGCAAGATTTTCCATCGGATGTTGGTCTCGTATACGTGGTCATTCCTTCATCGC